AAATTAAACAGTCTTATCTAATTTTAACTGTTATACAGTTTTAATTAGTTTAAAAAAAAACAATTTTGCAGATTCTTAAAGCTGAAAAAGTGTAATTTTTTTTTAGATTTCCCTATTATAAGATTTTACAACTTAAAACTTGGTGAACGTCTCACCACTCCTCGCTGTATAACAGCTCAATTGAGTTCTCTTCCAAATGTATGTTTAATACAAAAAAAGTCAAATTCTTTTCAATTTTATGATTAAATTACAAATGTAATGGAAAACGAAAATTTCCATTACATTTGTAATTTTATTTATTTATGTACGAGTATGTAATTATGCATACACTCTGTAATTGAGTGCAGTTTGAATATTTTGTTTTTTTATTAGCCACTTCTTGAACTCATTTCCATATTATGTGCTTGTAAACACTTGAAATATTCAAAATAAAAATAAAAAAAAAACTGTCATATTTTTACACACACACACACATTTAAAAACACACACTTATTTACTTATTTACAAATGAAACTAATTTTGTTCATCCATGTCGTATTTTTAAAATGTTTTAAGAACACATTTTCACTCATTTATATTTCGCTCATTATGTTCTATCTGAAAATTTATATGTAATTTTATAAAATAAAATAAAAATTCAAAAAAGAAAAAGAGAATTTGTAAATATTTTGTCGATCGGATCTTGTGTTTGTTTTAGAGTAATGCAATGTTAATAATTTCAATCTTCATAATTTTTCACTCTTCTTTTAACACTCATTATAATGTTTATGAGTGAAATTATTTTGTTGGAAATTTTTTTTACGTATTTCTTATAATAAACTTGTTTACAAAAAAAAAATAACAACAAACAAAATAAACAATTTTGTTTTTAACTTCAAACTCATTCTCATTTCAAAATTTTAATTTAGTTAAGTGAGAATCGTACAGATGAGAAGAAGTTTACAAATTTAAGTAAATACGCGCGTGTATTTTTAATAAAATTATTTAAAAAAACAAATATTTTATTTGATTTTAATTTACTATTTATATAATATAATTGTATATAATGTGAAATGTAAATTGTAATATTGTAAAAAAAAAATTGTATTAAAGTTACTAAAAATATTTTTAAAAAATAAGCAAAAAGTAATTAAAATTTGACAGTGTTTTTGTTTTTTTAATTCTAAATCTAATTAGAATTAATTTAAATAAAACTTTTCGTGTATAATGGAAAAAAAAAATATTTTTAATTAATTTTATATATGAAAAAAAATAATTATAAAAATTTGCTTATACAGTAAATAATAATGAAATTTCAACTAAAATAATTAAATAATAATAATTAATAAAAAAAAATATGCTTCTGACATACCTAAATAATTATATTTCAAAATCAGAATTAACTAAATGAAAAATTTAAATGCAATTGTCAGCGTAATTTAATTTGTAAAAAATTAAAAAACAAAGCGAACAAATATAAAACTTTTATACGTTTTATGGGTTCTCTTAGTTAAAAAATTTAATTTCATTAAATAATTTCCTCCATTTTTATTCCATTTCTTTTCTTTTTCTTATATACTATGAGGACGACGATCAGTTATCGTTTTCTTAATGTCAAAAATATTTTAATTTTTCAAATGTCAAATTGAATATTATGTTCTATATATAATACGTAGTTCGTTCAATCATATAGCGAGGGTGTGCAAGATGCATGAGGAACTCATAAAATTATCAATAATTTTTATGTATAAATATATGTATGTAGTATAACACATTATTGTAATTCTGAATAACAATGAGTAAAATATACACACATAGGTACTGTAATGAAAACAACAAAAAAAAAAAAGTAATTTAGGCCTCACGTAATTATTTGAAGAGACCCTAAAATTAAATAAATGAATTTGTATATATTTAATTGTGTATGAGTATATATATATACATATGTATAGAGTATATTTATATTAATATGCAAGTCCACTTATTTATATTTAGAATTTTATTTTTTTTCCAACAACACAGCAATTATGAAGTATGCACACTTACTTCGTATGCATATTACATTATAATATATTTTATTTATAGTCAAAGAGATTAAAATAAATTTTTGTAAAATTTAATGCGTTATATAAAATATACATACATACATTTGTACATTTGTATTATGTAAATAAATTTTTAATAAAAAAAAAATAATGCATTATGAAATGAAATTTAAAAATAGAGAAAAAGAGGTCAATGTGGATCTTTTTAAGGTTTCAAAAATTAAATTTTATGAAAAATAAAAAAATGCTTAAATGAAAATTTATATTTAAAATTTTATATTTTGGAGTTTAGAACTTTAAAAAATGATTTCTGTAGTAATTACGTACAAGTAGCTAGTTCAATAAATTTTTGACAAAAAATTATATTCTTTTCAATTATAGACCTCCAAGTAAGAATATAAGTGTGTATTATGAAAGACCATTGTAAAAATGATAATTTTATTCATTTTATATTTAAATGAAATACTAAATATGGAACAGACGGGCGGTTTATTATTATACATTTAAAAATATTATATTTCTTGGAATTATAAACAACTTCCGAGAATGTGCGTGCATACGTGTATAAAATTTTATATTATATTTCATATAACTAGAACTTTTGTACATTATTTATATTGGTAGAACAGTATAGAATCATTTATATTTAATATTTTTGAAGAAATTTTTCAATCCCTTAAATAGGAGCCTAACTTTTTTGTGAAATATTTTTCGTATATACACAAAAAATACGAAAGGTAGCACAAACCAAATTTGTATGGTATCACATTTTCATTTTTTCAAATACGAACACCGTTTTACGGAAATTAAAGAACATAGTAAGGCCCCAGAAATTAAAATTTAAGATTTTATTAAAAATAGATTTGAATAGTCATAAAGAAAACCCCTCAAAAGAGTCATTACGTATAAAAGACGGAAAACATTTTTATAAATTTCGAATTTTGGAGGCCAATTTGTTGTATATTTCTTTTGTTTATTTATTATCAAAATTATTTAGAAAAAAAAATATTTGAATTTAACATGCGTAAATTTATTCATATTTCTCATTTAAACAATAATAATAAACAAATAATTATAAAAATTAAAAATAGGGACGTGATAAACTTTAGCCATTCTTATTTTATATACAATTATTATAATATTGAATTTTAGGTAGAAATTTTTTACGCACGTTTTTTGATTTTCAAAGCCGTAAACCTTCATCTTATAAAAATTCATAATTTAATATTGTTTTGTTCATTTTATTCGCATTTTAAATCAAAACTTAATCAAAATATTCAAAATTTATTAAAAAAAATTAAGTAGGTTGTTTGATAGCTTATCAGACCCCATAAACACATTTACTTTCATTATACAAAATTATCGTTTAATAAAATTTCTGAAAAACATTGCTCTGTCTACTAGACTATCAGTTAGTGGTTATTCCCTACTTACTTCAAAAAAAAAAAAAAAAATTTCATAAAAAACGAATGGAACGGCAATGCATTTTTTTTTTTTTGTTTTATTTTTCGAATTTTTTTCATTTATTTTTCATTTCAAAAATTCCTTAAGAGATATTTTTTTTTTTACTTTTTTTTTTGTAGTTTTTATAAATATTATGCCTTTAGCTTCTTTTAAATGCTGTTTTTGAAGTTGTTTTAAACTCTACTACTTTGTTTTTGTTTTGGATGAAGTACGCGATGCAACAGCAATAGCATGAGCGCAGTTGATAAAAAAAAATATGAAAATCCGGTTCTATAGTTTTTTAACTTCTTTTTTTTTGTTGGTTTTGCATTTTATTTTATTTTTTTTTTGTATTTTTTAGCTTTAGGAATGCGTATTTTTGTTTTGCATTTCTTGCTTTTTTTTTTCAATGATGTTTTGAAATATTCACTTGCATTTAAAATACTTATTTTATAATAAAATTATTAGTATTATAAAATTTTAATATATTTAATTTTAAAAAAGTTTTTGAGATTTAGAAAATTTAAACTTGGTAATGCATGGTAAAAACCAATAATGGTAGCTCTTGTACTATCACTTTCTTGGACAAGCAAATTGTTAAACTATTAATTCACGAAATAAGACTCTGAAAGTTGAATTTGCTTTTAAACCTAAATTTGAAATTAAATTCGTCCATAGTAACCGAATGTACGGGAGCGAATTTTTGTAAATTAATATAAATAATCTCTAATTTTATATCATATGTGACTCCAAAACTTAAAAACTCTAAATAAACCTAGCATATTCATTAAAAAAACTGGAAATTGTGTAATCTAAAAAGGCATTTTAATTCAGTTTTAGAAAGTTGAAAAAATACGTAATTTCTACAGCAATGGAAAAGGATCTATTAAATCTGAAATCAAAAAGCATTCCCATAATAGTGTAAAATATTTGTTAAGTATAAAAAAATTATAAATATTATTAAAAATCTCATACGGCTTAAAGCAATAATTTATAATAAATAAATTGCTATTAAGAGTATAAAAGGAAAAAAAATCAATTTCAAAATTTCAATTTTTCACCTCTCTTATAAATTTAAAAGCATGTTTGAGTAGAATTTTCAAAAAAAAAAGTGCATATAAATAAATTAGACGCTGATAATTGACAACTTTGAAAAATAATTAATCATGTCAGAAAATCATTTAGCAAAAAAATTAATACTTTAGTTGTGAAAATTTTGCAATTTTTGTAGCGATAATAAATTTATTTTCAACTTTTATTTTAAATTCTAGTTATTTTGTCATAGTTTAAATCTTAACAAACATTAATATTTTGCATTTGTGTTTCTTTAAATTTTTCGAAAATTTTTTTAATTAAAAAAATTTATTGTTTATTTAAATTTAATAATAATTGTTATATATAAAATATGTAAAATTAATATGTAAAATATTAAAACAAAAAATTAGTAATAAAAAATTAAATTTAAAATAAAATAATTAAAATTAAAAAACGACCATCATTTCCCAATTATATCAAATAAAAATTGTTACAAAAATGTTGCAAACAGCTGAAACAGCAACTGTTATCGCTCCAATTAATTATAATATAAATACTACTAGTACTACAACTGGGACAATAACTGCTACAACACCAGAAATAATAACAAATAATCAATTATTTTTAAACTCTACAACATCATCATCATCATCATCATCACCACCATCATCAGTTACATCAGCAACAACGGTAATAACAACAACTACAACATCTGGTAATAATAATACTGATAGTGATACACCAAGACGCCGTTCAACATTTTATGTACCATTAGTAACACCAGAATCATCAAATGATTCATTAAATTGTATTGATTCAATAGAACAAAAACAGACCAAAACAATTGAATCAAATCCATTAGATTTTTCAAAATTAAAAAATCTTTGCGATATTAAAAGTTCTTTAGAGAATTCAAAAAATTTTCCAAATACAACTGAAATGACACCATCACCATGCGGTGGTTTTGATTGGAGCTTTTTAGGTGGTAGTGGTAGTACAAAAAAATTAAAAAATTTATCCGAAGATGAATTTATAATAAAATCATCAATAAAACATCATGTTAAATTACAACGTGATAATGATAGTAGCAATCATAAAACACGTAACAGTAATGAAATTATAACAACAGCAACAACAAAAAATATTAAACAATCAAAATATAATATTAATAATGATAATAATAATGGTAGTGAAATTTTATTAAAAAGGAATAGCATTACTAGTAGTCAAACAATTTTTATTGATCCAACACGAAACAGTGATGAATCAACAAAATTATTAAATAGTAATAAACGTAAAAATAATACAAATATTAATAATAAATTAAATAGTAATTTAATTAGTGATACAATTGTAAAAATACGTAATAATAGTAATAGTAGTAATACAAGTAATTGTTATAACAGTAATACAACAATTAATGATAAATCAACAGTAACATCAGTAAAAGCTGCTATAAAACAAATACAAAATAATTGTGAAAATGATAAAAGTTATTTAAATAAAGTTTCATATTTAAGTAATTCAAATACAACAACAACAACAAATTCAGTAACTAATAATAAACATAATACTAAAAATAATAATAGTAATACTACACCAGTTAAGAATAATATTAATAAAACTAAAAGGTATGGTATCGTCTTAAATGGTATTAATTTAGATGATGATTGTAATAATGATGGTAACAATCAATTACAAACAATAGATAATAATATCAATAATTGTTGTCAATCATCAATATTAAATGGCCTTAATTATTGTGATGATGATGATTCTGAATTAAGTCGTATGCAAACCAATACTTCAACACCAATTAAAATGATGAAATCACGTTCAAGAACAAATATATTATCAGTTCCAATTACAGAACCAAGTATTATATTTACTTCATCTAATGTTGCTATAGCAACTGTTACTGTTAATAAAACAACTATTGCACCAATTAAAACGAATTTAATTGAAAATAAATCAAGTGTAACAAATGCAAAAATAATAACAACAACAGCAGCAACAACAACAACAACACCATCAAAAACAACCAAAGAAAAATCAAAAACTTTACCACAAAATTGTTCACCATCTATGGTGAAACAAATTGGTTCTGGAATATCAACAAATAGTACGAAACATATTGCTAATAGTACTGTTAATATAAATGCAACAACAGGAACAAAAACAACAACAAAAACAATAAAATCATCTACAAATAATTTAACTAGTAATAACAGTAATTCTGGAATAATTTCAAATACATTCCCACCAAAGAATTTATTTTTATTAAAATCAACACCTAAATTATTACCATCATCAACATCATCTATGTCATCATCATCGAATGGTACACAAAAAAGTCATTCATCATCGGATACATCAATTTTATCAACGACCACATCACCAAATAATCGTACAAATAATACCGGATCAAATAATCATAATCAAAATACTACCACTGCTACTACTGCTACTACTACCCATATAATATCACCACCAAAGAAATCTTTAAGTTTTATAAGAAGAGCACATTCAACAAAATTATCTCGTAGTAATTCATTATTAAAATCTCTTACATCATCAACATCATCAGCATCATCATCATTTCGTCATAATAGTACAACAACAACAACATCATCTTCAAATAATACAGCTGATACATTGTATTTAGGTTATGAAGTGAGACCATTACCATTTGATAGATTAGAGAAATTCTTTAAATCGGATAAATGTATTGAAATGATGCGTGAATATTTTATGATTAAAGATATTCTTGCACAAGATGATTTACAGCAACAACAAAATCCTGATGATAATAATATTAATATTGGAATTTCTGGTATCAGTTGTAGTAGTAATAGTAGTGATTCATCACCAGAATCAATTAATATATTGAAAAAATGTGACAATTGTGATAATGAACGTAAAGAGAAAAATGATGAAGAAATTTATAATAATAATAATAGTAATGAAAATTGCCAACAGCAAAGACAACATCCCACATACGAAATTAATTGCGATAATAAAAATTGTATTCATCATCATCATCAAAATCATGATGATGCAGATGATAGTGCTGTTCATTCAGGTAAATAAAAATTAAAATTTTCTTTTTTATTGTTATTTTAACAAATATTTTTGTTAAATTGTTAATTTAAATGTTAAATATAATCGTGTTACTTTCTATGGTCCATTAAATTTGTTTAGAATATTATTGTTATTATATTTTAAGTAAAAAAATTTTCATGTTCATGTAGGTTGTGGGAAAGTTTAATATTTATTTAAAATTTTAAATAAATTTGTAAGTCTATGTTAAAATCAATGATGGATAATAGTAGGTGGATTTTGTAAAAAAAAAAAAAACAAGATTAATTTATGTTATGACTTCACAATAGATTTCTTAATGATTTCGAAAAAACTTAACAGAATTTTTACCTCATCCTCAAATTTTTGGCTCAGGAAGAAGGAAATTTAAGAAAATGAATTGTTAATAATTATTTTACCCTAATCATATTCCTTTAATTTAATTTTTAAAATCAAGGAACCGTAAAACTTTTATAATTCTTTAAGTATGCAAACTACATACATTCATTGTACAATTCACAATTAACATATCAGGTGAGGTGAAATGATTTAATATCAATTGTGATAGCTAACAATTTACAATTAACAAATTTAATTCTGATTTTATTGGAGAAAATAAGAGAGAAAATTAACAATAAGAATATAGATTTATAAAATGATCTTTTTTCTCACAATTTCTCAATAATAGTAATTTTGAGTAAATGTATACGACCGCATAAAATATAGTCATTTGCATATTTTGTATTCACTTGGACAATAGCAATTTTTTTTTTTTTCGAATAAAAATGTTGATTGTAAAAATCTATTAATCTTTTAAAGGAGTGCCCATTGCATTTTTAACAGATCAGATTTATTTTTATTTTTATATTTTTGAGAAAAATTCTTTTGATTTGAAAACGATGCATTCTAAATATATACTTATATGAGGAAAATGCATTTTAATTTAAATTTCATTAACATTTTTGAATAAATTATTTGAATTGAATGACACTTTTGTGTAGGAAAATTCAAAAACAATTCAAATATATATTTGATTTTGAATTTTGTTTATGAACAATTTAGCATTATTTTGCCTTATTGGAAAGTTTAGTTTATCCAACAACCTACATTATTTATCTATGTATATTGAGTCTCAATTTTGCACTGAACGTATACTTTATTGAGCATTTACTGGCATATTAACTACAGCAATGCAAGTAATAAATTGAGAACTCATGTTTTTTTTAAGGTTTTTGTTTTTTCTCTTTTAGAATTTTTAATTGAGAGCACTGATTCATTACTCTTGTTAATTTGGAATAATTTTCACATTTTAGCATTATTTTGTAAATAAATGTGTATAATTACAAAATTTATGTCAATAAATATTTTTGTCTTAAATTTCTCTTAAAAACTTTCTTGTCAATTGTAAAATTTTATAAATTATTGCAAAACTTATATATCCAGAGAAATAGTGTATATTTTTCAACTTGTAATAATTTATTTATTAAGGAGAAAGTTTTTATACATATTTTATTCAATATAAAAAATAATGGATTTTTTTTATATTATTTTCTGAAAAGTTTATTTATGATATACGAAATAAATTTTGTATAATTTCGTTCCTCTTTACTCAATATAAATAAAATATTGCCGCATATTACCTATGAATTTACTATAAAATTTTGCCACTAAAAATATACGATAATGGCTACAGCACTTTAAATTTAAAATAAACATTCAAATAGAGAGTTAGTTCTATTTTCAAAAAATGAAATTTAGTCGATTTTATTTTGCATAATTATTATAATAAAATCTTTGGCAAATAAGAGAATTTAATCCTAACAATTTAAATTTATATACCTACAATTAATTTTGAAAGAATTTTTTTTGAAATTAATCAAGATATAATTAAGTATATTTTAGTATGATTGAAATTGAAATATAATTAATTTCGATATTCTATACAAAATTTTCATATCATATAGCAAATGATCTCAAAAAATTTCATGACTGTAATTTAAATAATGTTATTAATAGCATTAAATATAAAGGCATATATAAATTCACGTTAACATATGTATGTATATGTATAGTATGGCATTATATTTATATATAAATTCAATTTATATATAAATACAAACATATAGCTTTGTAGTATAATATCTCGAAAATTTTATATTTTAAATAAGAATCTTAAACAAATAAAGAAATTTTTAATACCAAAAAAAGAAAATTTCACACATTTGCTCTTATATGCATATACATATCGCACTTCTATGGTATAACACTCCTACCTATACATACATAACATATATTTAAGATTTTCTACAGGAAACTTTCAAATACAAACTTTCAAGTAAGTAAAACTGTATACTACTATACTTACATCTACTACTTTTATGTCAAAACTTTATATTTTTCGTTCTACTCCAATTCATATGCAAAAGACATTTTTCAACTCCAAATATTTTTGAAACTACAACAACAACCATAAAAAATAATAATAATAACAGTGACAGTCAAAAAGGATGAGAAACTTGGAGAGAAAAAAGAAACAAAAAGCAATTATTTTAAATGACATTTCATATACTCCTCATGTTTATATTAATAAAAATGTAGTCGACGGAAAATATACATTTATGTATGTATGTATGTATGATGTAATGTGCAAACATAAAAGTCAACTTGAACACTATCTTCAATCACAGATTTTTTTAAATTTCATTTTTATTTTTTTAACTTTTTACTTTCTGTTTTACTGACACGACACATCATACATAGATAAAAATTAACGCTCTCTCATCAATCAATTACTTAAATTAAAAATTCAAAAAAAAAATATTTTAAAACAAAAAAAAAAAAAATTTTCATTGAAAAATTTCGTACACTTAATAAAAATAATTTTATAACGTTTAATAAACAATTTGCGCGCTTCTTAAATTCGATGACAAGACAGCGGAAACTTACACTTATCTTTTTTTTTTTTTGTTTTTATAATTTAATAAATTTTCTCACACGTTTTTTTATGTTATTTTTTTGTTTTTTTTTTTTTAGATTTTCTTTTGAAAATATATTTTTGTCGCCAACCAGTTTTGTATTTTTTTTTTATAACAGAAATTGTTGGTTCTTACTAATGAACCTCACAGAAATTTGTTTTGTTTCTTTTAATAAGCATTTAAACTTGTAAAATATTCTTCGCACTTCTTCGCACACAAATCTTTTAGAATTTGAAAATTTTTCCCCCTTCATATTTGGTTCCGTACTCATGCCACCCCACTTCCATATAATAATAAAATAATTTCCTTTTTTTTTCGGTATAAAAAATAAAGTGAGAGAAAATTACTCATTTAAATCAAAAACAATCGCAACAATAACAACAAACAATAACAAATTCATATTTTATTTCATTCCTCATCATTCACTCTATTTATTACGGAAATTATTTTTTATACAAGAACAATAAAAAGAAAATGTTAAAATTTTATATTTAATGTGAACGTGTTATGAAGTTTTTTTTTAATAGGAAAGTTGCAGCAGGAATACAATTACTTAAAATATTGAACAATATGTTTGACTAACACACAAACATACTGACTTAATTTTTTAAATAAAATTTTATGATTTCTTTTTTTTATTAATTTTTTTTTTTCGAATTTCTGTAAAAGAAAATTATTCAAGTTGCACTGCAATGTTAAAAAGTGTAAGAAATTATACAAAACAAGCACAGAAAAATTTTTAATACAAAAAACATTTACTTAAAGAAAAAATAATAAAACCCTGCTGTTTTGTTTTCTCTGTCGTTCTTTTAAAAATGCCGACATTTTGTATGCCGCCAACGACAACACTTAAACAGGAAATTTAATTTAATTAATAACAAACCTGTAATTTTTCTTATTTCTCTTTTTATTTTTTTTTCTTATTATCAAAATAATATAATTCATACCCTTTAAAATTTACTAAATTTCAAAGGCATTCCTATTGATTGAAACCAAATTAAGAAACAAAAACATATTACAACCGGTAATGTCAGTTTTTTTTTTTTTTTTATTTTTTTAGTTTTGAACATATGGTCACCTGTTATATGCAATTATAATGCAGTATTATACATAGAGTATCAAACGACTTAAGAAAATAAATTTTTAAAATTAACAAATACAATAATTTTATACCGGCGAATAACCAAAAAACTGACAGAACATGCTAATTATTTGCTTCCTCTCTTGAGTAGCTGCTATACGTTTTATTCTTTCAATATAACAGTTATTGTTTTCAACTTGACTTTTTTTTAATATTTTAATTTCAATACATCAGAACGTATTGTGTGTGTTTTATGTATGTATGTACGTTTATAGGGTTAAAATTTAAATATTTGCGCCGATATTTAAAGGTATTTTATATTTACTTTAAGTAAAGTAAACTATTTTAGTTTCTTTGTAACTATTATATATGCATTTATGAAAGGAAGACCGATAAATTTAATATTTAGAGAGTTACTTGCTCTTATTTTTTTTTTCATTTTAAATTGTTTTACTTGTATGTATATTTTTAGTTTCTTTTCAATGGAGGAAAAAATAAGAGCATTGCACAGAAGCAATAAAATTTTAAAATATTTTTTAATAATTTTTTTTTCCACATTTACACTTTTTATGATAACAATCTTTAAATATATTCTATACATGTGTATTATTAAAATTTTTATTTGAACAGGTGAAAATATTTTATTTTTAAATAATTATATATTTTATAGTCAATAACATAATAATTTAGTATATATATATAATTCGTATATATATAGCTATGTATATTACTTAGTATGTTTTATATGTTTGTCAAGTTGATACGAATAAATAAATTGTTTCAATGTTCTTGAACTTAACGTTCACAGATGTTTAACATTTACAAAATTTTTTGCTTAAAAAAAATACGCAAGCATATAGTCTAAAATTATAATTTTTAATTACTTTGAGTAATAAGTATATTATAAAATTATAGAGTTGATTAATAATTTTTTTAAAAATTTTGAGA